CTGGCGCCAGCGCCCAGCCGGTTACGACACGACACACCGCGGTGGCTACATCTTGTCGCGCCCGCATTGCTGCCTGCTGCATCATTTTATAGGCAGCGAAGCGTGACGATCTTGGTGCTGGCTCGTTCTGTGGTTCGAGAAGAAGATGTCGTTGATGGCGTCAAGGAGGTGGCCATGCGCGGTGAAGTAACAGGCTGTAATGTACACGGTACGTTGCCTGCATATCGCTCAGATTGCACTTGCTTCTACTGTGCGTGCAAGCTGCAACGTACGGTACAGCGACGCGTGGCTTCCACGAGTGACGGCCATCTTGGCCGGCGAGATCCGAGGGCGACCAAGGGACCGGACGTCGCGCGCACCCAAGTACCCACATTAGGAGGATCGCCTTGCTCGGAACCGGGCGGCAACACCGAACGAATTCTCGAGTAGCAATCGCCCGAGGGAGATGGTGGATTTTGATTTTGGGGCTTACTCCGCATCCCACGCTTCTAGAGGGCGCTGTGCGTGGCTACCGTCGGCCGCGCCTGTCCGCTGTAAAGGTTGGGAATGGCCCGCTGCATAAATACGACGTTGGGTTGGGCTACGCCGCGGCCTTGACCTTGGGCGCTGGCAACAACGCCGACGCGACCCAAAAAAGCGACTGGACGACCGTGACAAAGATCATGACAGGCGACAGCATCACCGTGTACGTGAGCGCCACCGCGCGGACCGCGGGCGGCGACTCGACCTTGGTCTTTGTGGGCTTCTTGGCCTTCTTCTTCAATGGCTTGGCCACTATCGGCTTGACGGCAAGGACGTCGTCGATCGAAGGCACTTGGTTCATGGCATCGGGCTGCACAACAAGCGGCACCACGGTGTCTTCTTCCAGCTCAGGCTCATGGGGCTGCTCGACGATCGTGTTTGCATCGACATCAAGGAGATCGTGGACGAGTCGAAGACCGTCGTCCGAGAGTGTCGGAAGCGCGGTAGCGAGCTGCTGCATGAAGTCGTGGAGCTGGCGCATGCGCGTGGCGTTGGACGGCGTGAAGAGCACCTTTTGCGGAAAGGGGAGCGCCGCCGCGTGCCGGTCCATCTTGACGAGCTACACTGTCGTTGTAGGCTCTGTAGGGTTGTTCGGTGTGTCATACCTGGCCAAAAAACTCGTGGAAGCGGCTGTAGCGGATCGGGACGACCCATTCGTGGCCGTTGGACTCGACGGTCGTCATGTACACCTACACGCATCCCATGACACTCTGGTCGTCGTTCTTGCATCGATGTGTGTACTGTAAACTTGCTGCCATCGTCGACCGTGTCTTCGTAGCGATGGACTGCGAGCTGCGTTACCATGGTGCTATCAGTAGGCGAGGCAATATGAAGGAATGGGCGCCATGTCGCTGCGAGCGCTGTGTTTGAATGGCCCGTCTGACAAGCCCGACGCAGCGTCGCTCGTTTTATTGGCACAATCAAAACCACGTAACAAATCCTAGTTTACCATTTATAATTTGAGCCGGCCACCTGTTACTTCCAGGTGCACATGCGCGGCGATTGGACGGCCAGCGCACAACCTCGTGTTGTGTCAACTCCAATCTTGGCAGCGCGTCTTGCCAAATCGAACCGGTGTGTGTGCTGCCGCTTACATGCAGCGTCCTCTGCTACCACTGCTACGAAGGCGCTTCCATGCAGCGCCGCACAGCAAGGCACTTCCATGCACATGGTATCTGTGGCGTTGGTTCAGATTCCACCGGCGACCACTCTCGTCTCGTCTCATTTGCCGTGCCTCGTGGTGAGCTGCCACGGTGAGCTGACGGTGAGCTGCGTTAAGATGTTAAGATGCAGAAGAAACTCGAAAGAGCCGAAGCCTAGAGGAGAAGGAGCTGGTGAACGCTGGTGGACTGGTAAACTCTAGTCTGCCGGCAGGTCATCCGTCTACGAACGATATCTTGGACAAGCTTCCACCGTGCTAGAGGTGCGTCTTTGGTTCGCATCAGCCTGTTCGAGTAACGGTAGCACGGTAATACCGGTAAGTGTTTATGCGTGTTCTGTCGAGGGCGGCCTCGTGGCAATGGATCGATTGCAAGTGACTTGCTACCTGTGATGCACCAGCCTGCACGGAAGGATGCCTCTTGCAGGGGCAGGACTCTTATTATAGAACGAAAACAGGCAACAACTCTAATGGCCCGACGCGTAGTGCTCGGGGTACTTGGCGATGTGTTCGAGCATCTCGGCCTCCTGGTCCTGCAAGTGGCGCGGCTTCTCAGCATAGACGTCCTCAAACATCGTGTCGAGGGCCGGGATGCCCTTGGCCTCGGCCTTGGTGAGCGCCGCAAGCACGCTCGAGCGCTCGGCGTCCTTGAGCGCCACATCACGCTCCTCCGACCACCAGCCTTGGTCCTATTATATGCCATGAGATCGGAACGATCTCTATGCAGCGTACGAGGAGGTAGAGCTTGAGGCGGTTCATCGGGCAGTTGGTGTCCTTCCAGTGCTTGATCTCCGAGACGGCGCGGTACCGCGTCGAGTCGTCCGACGTCGAGTGGTGGCCCTGGCGGTACGACATGGTCTCGAGCAGCACGGGGCGACCGTCGCTCAGAATCATCTCGCGCGCCTTCTTGGTCGCTTCGTAGACGGCGAAAACGTCGTTGCCGTCGACACGAATGACGGGAATGCCGTAGCCGGCGCCGCGCGACGCGATACCGTCGCCACGGAACTGGTCCTTCACGGGCGTACTGATCGCGTACCCGTTGTTGCGGGCAAAGTAGAGCACGGGGCAGTCGCGCGTCGCCGCAATGTTGAGCGCTAGCATAGTATTGGAACGTGTAGAACGAGGATGACGACGCACCGGCGTGGAAGTCGCCCTCACTGGCCGCGCCTTCACCAAAGTAGCAGACGGCAATGCGGTCTTCCTTGGCGAGCTTGAAGCCGTATGCGGCGCCGGCCGCCTACCTCTTTTGAGCCACGGTTCTTCTTTTTTGACACGGTCGTTGTACCTGGGGCAGCTGCGTCGCAAGCGGCGAAGACACCGTCTGGTAGTTGAGCTCACGCGAGCCATAGTGCACGGGCATCTGGCGACCCTTGCCGAGGTCACCTTCGTTGCTGAAGAGCTGGTCGGCAAACTGGTCGAGCGTAAAGCCGCGCCACATGAGGACACCGGCCTCACGGTACTGGGCAAACACCATGTCGCCTACGCGCAGTAATGAGATGCATCAACCATTATCCACACGTGCGTACGGGGCTTGATGGCGGCGGCGCTGCCAAAGAGCGTGCCTTCTTCGCCAAACGCCGTCATGTAGAACGAGATACGGCCCTATACATAGGCGATGAGCGCATTTGCGTTTGGACGCTGACTGTACCTGGCGCTGGGCGTCGTAAAAGACGTTGTCCATGCTCTACAAAGATCGTCATATTGGGCTGCGGCGTCGTCTCGAGAAATTGATATGGGCATATACGTTGAGACGGATCATGTGCTTGTAGATCTCGACCGCGAGGTCTTCGTCGATGCCTTCCGGAAGCGACGCGCCCGGCACGAGCTTGCCCTGCTGGTCCAAGACGCGGTAGGCCGGGATCACGTCGGCGTCCTTGGGGTCCACGACGTGGATCTTGTTGACGTACGGGACCGTCTGGCCACCCGGGAATTCGCCTATTGTGCATGAGGAGGATGAGGAGGATGATGCATGCAAGGCCGTCGTCGTACCGTGGCCGACGGTGGTCGAGAAGAAGCGGGCGGCGCGGGCGCGGGGCACGAGCGACTTGGTGAGCAAGCGGAGGGCCATTCTACGGACGTGTCGGGAATTTGTAAGTGAGCTGCGCTGGCGTGCCTGGCTGCACTCTCGTATTTAAAATGAAATCTCGCGTATTTTTAATGTGCCAAATTGCCCTTTCCACATACAAAAGGGAGAGATGCAAAGGGCAATTTCGTTTGGAACACATCATATTAATATGCGCAGCCCAGGCGTACCTCCTGGTACCCGCAGCACCTTTTTAGGCGACGTGGCATCCGTATAAACCTGTAGGAATCAATAGTCGCGCACAACGCATGGCGCCATGGAGCAAACGACAGCAGCATCCAGATAGATGAAACCTCTTAGAATGCATAGCGTGAGGTGGTCCCACTCTGACCACGGTGGCCTTGAACTTGGGGAAAATCCCCGAGCCCTATGAGACAGAAGGCACGCAGATGGTTGCCGATCCAAGGCCGTGGCTTGCTGGCGGCGAATGCCGCAGGAACGCTGCCGTCGATGCCAACGGATGGAGTGTAATCCAGTGTCGAGTCGGTTCCCGTGCCCTTCTGTCAACGGGCAACAGCACGCAAAGGAATGGCAAACTGCTACTGGCACGTTGCACGAGTGTGACTTATCTGCGGAACTGACTGGCGCACCTAGAGTCGTGGGTTCGGGCATCGAACGCCGATGACTCATGAGATTTCGAAACGGGCGCGGGAATAGAACCAAGTCCAAGTGTAGCTACGCCAATCTGGGCGTCATGGGACGGTTCCTACCGTGGTGCGATGAGTGCCACGGCCATCTCATGCGATGGCGCGCCTTTTTACTGCATTCCATTTCGACCTTTGCGACTTCGTGCCTCTAAGAACAAGTAGTCGGTGTCCACACGCTACTGCCACGGAAGCGACGCCTTGTTGGGCTTCATGGAGTAGGGTCGCAAGCTCGTGTTAATAATGTTTGCTTTACGTTGCCGAACACGTCCGAGTTCGTTGAACTCGCCAGGCCGCAAAACGATATCCTTCCTGAATGACAAGACAACTCGGAGTGCCAGAGCCGCCATGTTGGTGAGTCTTGCATCCATCGACTGCCATTGCCTGGTCTCGAGGTATGGTTGTTGTTTGGTGGAAAGTGTGTCTGTCTTGCCGAGCGTCCCGATCGATGGTAAGTATCAAGACCATAAATATCATATTTACAGCCTTGGTGGCGCCTACAACTACTTGTAAGGTCCTCGAGGTCCTCGAGCGCAACGTTCTGCCTTGTGCTCAGACGTTCGTGTGAGCCATGCTATCTAACACCTGACATCTTCCAGCGTACTCGGCCGAGTCGCCCAGCCTTTATGAGCGCTGCACGAGGTGCATTGATCTGTGCTTCCTCCGTGGCAGCTCCCAATGACGACATCCGAGCAAGCGATTTATACTGGCAACAAACCCAGCCAAGGCCATCGGTAGAGCGGTGGTCGTCGTTGGTTACTGCATTGTACGACAGCAAGACTGCGCGCTCTCGCCGTTCCGCGCCGTTTGGAATCCTAAATGGACCCAATGAAAGCCTGGTTTATCTGACAATAGGCTTTTAGTCCTAAACGGCTCCATCGAATCGAGGGGTACCCCTTTTCTTTGGGTACCACTGTTTTAAAAGAGACTGCTGCTTGCTCTCTTTTATCTATTCTATTTTTATATTTTCTTCGCCTGGAAATGGGTCCCTGTACCTTTAAATAGTTTCTTGCCCACCAGGGGGTATACCTGTCCCCCGCCGTTTGAAAACGCGAGTGGTCCACACAGCAAGCAACAGGAAGCCGCCCGCCCACCATGTCGTCCGACGAAGAAGATATGCACTCGGAAGAGGAGGAAGACGAGGAGAACGTCGACCTCTCCGAGGAAGAGGAAGAAGAGGAAGAGGCGCCCTCGAAGAAGCGCAAGGGGAAGGCCGCCGACTCGAAGAAGAAGAAGGCCAAGAAGCCCAAGTACATGAAGTTCATCGACGACATTGCCGACGAAGCGTCCGGCGACGAGAGCGAGGAAGATGGCTACGACGAAGGCTACCCGGACGAGCGGCGCTTGGCTGAGCAGGAGGGCGAGGACCTCGGCGACGAGAGCCGCCACCAGTACCAGTCGCACCGCAACCGCGCTGCGTTCAACGAAGACAACCTCTCTGCCGAGGACTACATTGAAGGCCTCAAGAAGCGCCACAAGCAGAGCCGTCGCACGAACGACGATGGCGACGTTGAGTCGGAAGAGATCATGCAGTCGGCTGTGGCGCAGCAGTCGCTTCTGCCGTCGATCCAGGACCCGCGCCTATGGGTCTTCAAGTGCAAGGTACGCTCCATGGACCGTCTGTGTGGCGATGGCTCACGAGGATTTGCATGTAGCCGGGTCGCGAACAGCACTTGGTGCTCTCGCTCATGAACAAGTTCCTCGAGTTTGAGAAGCGCGGCGAGTCGCTCAACATCAAGTCGGTCATTGCGTCCAACTCGAAAGGCTTCATCTACGTCGAGTCGGACCGCGAGCCGTTTGCCAAGGAGGCTGTGAACGGTCTCCGCGACATCCAGTCGTGGTCCATGAAGCTCGTCCCCATCCACGAAATGACGTCAGTCCTGACGATCCAGAAGAAGAAGACGCCGGTTGTCGCAGGCGTCTGGGCGCGCTTCAAGCGCGCAGGTCTCTACAAGGGTGATCTGTGCAAAGTCATTGAAATCGTCGACAACGGCCTTCGCGTACGGAGCATCGGCTTGCCTTGCGGTCGCTCATGCACGTGTCTCTAGGCGATCGTCAAGCATGTGCCCCGTCTCGACTCGTCGGTCCTGAACGGCGGCGAGCCTACCAAGTTCAAGAAGGGCCAGCGCCCGGCGCTCAAGCTCTTTGCGCCTGGCGCGGTGCACTCGTCGGACGTGAGTCGCAAGCGCCACCCGCTCACGAGTACGCTCGTTCTTGTGTACTTGTGTAAGTACAGGCCATCTCATGCGCAATGCTTAGACGAAATGATGGACGTGTACGACAATGACTGGTTCAAGGACGGCTTTCTCTACAAGGAGGTCAATATCTCGACGATGCTCAGCGTCGACGAGGTCAACCCGACGCTTGAAGAGATCAACAAGTTTAGCGTCTCGGCGGACGGTGACTCGGACAACGAGTCGTCGCACGTCTCGAAGCTCGACCTCGGCGACGTCGACGCGTGGAAGAACAAGGTCGACCTCACCAAGGGTGACACGGTGCGCGTCATCGAAGGCGACTTGATCAACCTGATGGGTGTTGTCGTGGGCACCAACTCGGGCAACGACACGGTCCGCGTCATGCCGCTCCACGAAGAGATCAAGGACACGATCCTCGACTTTCAGCTCAAGCAGCTCATGAAGATCGTCAAGGTAGATGGAGACGCGTCTCGGAATGGCGCATGACGCCCATGGTGCTAGATTGGTGCGCACATCAAGGTCGTTTCGGGTCGCTACTCGGGCGAGACGGGTACCGTCGTGAGCATCGACGAATCCATGGGCGCCCCCGTCGCCATCATCTTGGTCGACACGCAAGCCAAGGAAATCCAAGTTCGCGTCCGCGACATTCAAGAGTCGGCCGAAGTCTCGCAAGGTCTCGACTCTCTCAAGGGCAAGGAGCTCTACGACCTCGTGGCGGTACGCAACGCATGCCTTTTACATCTCGCTGCAGCATGTGCGAGTAGCTGCCGCACGGCGAAGTCGGTGTGATCACGCACGTCGGTCGCGACGGGTTTACGGTTCTGGGCCAGAACGGCCAGCCCAAGTCGATTGCGGACCAAGAAATCCAGCGCAAGCTCTTCTCGTCGCGCGTCTCGGCCCTCGACAAGAAGGGCAACCACATTTCCGTGGGCGAGATGGCGCAGGTCGTGGACGGGCCCTTTGCGGGGCAGACTGGCACGATCAAGCACATCTACCGCAGCTACATCTTCTTGCACAACAACCGCGTGGTACGTCGTGCATGCGGTCTGCGTTTCGACAACCTTTTGACCTTGGTATCTAGACGTCGAACGCTGGCATCTTTTTGGTGCGCAACCGTCAGATTGAAATTGCCGGTGACAAGGTCAAGTCGTACGCGATGGGTGCGTCGAGCTTTGGTGGGCCCAGTGGCGGCGGTCGCGGTGACATGTTTGGTGGTCGTGGCGGTCGTGGTGGTCGTGGCGACTTTGGCGGTCGCGGCGGTCGCGGTGGCCGCGGCGGCATGTCGTCGGATCTTGTCGGCAAGACGGTCAAGATCAAGCGTGGCCAATGGAAGGGCTACATTGGTATGGTCGCCGACGAAACCGAAGGCACGGTCAAGGTTGAAATCCACTGCAAGTCCAAGTGCGTTGAGATCGAAAAGAAGTTTGTCAACGTGGCCGGTGATCGCATGGGCGTGCATGTCGACGGCCGCCAGGGTGGTATGTCGACGTCGTCCAACAGCTTTACGCCCATGGTCTCGGCCACGCCGCTGCACCACGGCATGACGCCGATGGCTACGCCGCTGCACCAGCCGCGCACGCCGTCGCGGAGCTCGTACAGCTCGGGCGGTCGCACACCGCGCGACGCGTGGTCGACGCAAAACGACGACGCGCTCCTCGAGTCACACATGCCGCACGAGAAGGACATTACACACGGTACACCATCGTTACTTGATATCTTGAAAGTATCCGCAACTCAATGGGTGTCGTAGCGTCGAGCTTTGGCACGCCGTTGGAGCCGGCTGTGTCGTCCGACTTGGGCGTTGCGCCCACGTACCGCCCGTCCTCGTATGTGGCCACGCCGGGCAACAACAACAACGACATGCACAGCGTATCGACGCCGGGTATGCTCAACCCGACGACGCCGGGGTTCCAGCAAGGACCGTACACGACGCCAGGTCTGGCGCCCACAACGCCGTTTGCGGCCACGCCGGGGCTGCCGCGCAACACGATGGCGCAGACGCCGATGCAAATGCAGACGCCGTACCAGTCGCAGCACTCGTTTGGCCCTACGACGCCCGGTCTGCACAGCTCGATGCACCCGACGACGCCGGGCCTGCACATGCACCCGACGACGCCTGGCATGGTGGGCTTTACGCCCATGAACCCGACGACCCCCGGTATCTTTGGTGGGCACAAGGGCACGCCGGCTGCCGTGACACCCCATCACGGCGGCATTGGCACGACGCCGGCGCCGATGACACCCGCGGACCAGTTCCACTCGTACGACGGTGGGTACGGCCACGGCGGCATGTCGAGCGGTGGCCACGAGAGTTCGTGGCTAAGCAAGGGCGTCGTTGTCGAAGTGGTGTCGCAGGGCGAGTACTACGAGGCCGAAGGCGTCATCGTCTCGGTCTCGAACGACTCGTGTGTCTTGGACATCCGCGGCAAGAACGTGACGTTCCACATGGACAGTCTCAAGCACGTCATTCCCGAGAAGCAGGACAACGTCAAGATCTTGGTCGGTGACGAAGCGGGTAAGACCGGGTCGTTGATCGGGACGGACCCGCCGGATGGTATCGTCAAGATGGACGTGACGGCCGAAATCAATATTTTCCCGCTGAGCCACCTGGCCAAGCTGGCGATCTAGGTCAAGCGCTCATACCGACAAGAATGATGATGATGAATATACCGTGTTTGCCTACCGCTTCTGGTTTCCATCGAGGCTTGTTGTCGCTTCCATCCTCATCATGCATTTTTACCTCGGTGCATCGATCCTCCCGTGTCCACGCTGTGGTGCCAGACAGTGTGCAACAACGTATGTAGTAGCACATCACACTAAACCGCCATTCCACTTGCGCAATGGCCTCCGTTGTTGATGGAGCCAAGCCCAAGGCTACGTCTGTATACGCTTGTAGCTATGAAAGACAGTGTTTCGCGATTTCACAGGTGGCTTGGTGGTAATAACTACAAGTAGTCGACGCTTCAAGGTCCCATGAGGTCGTCGCACAACGCGACCTTGTACGCTATAGCGAGTCGGGCAAACCGAGCTTCGTTCGACCAGCCAGGAAACTGCGCACGCAAGGACACGGTGACGCGCGTGCCTGGTGCGACAAGGTGTGCGAGCATGCCTGTATCTGTGATATGCAACAAGTGCCGGCGAAAGGCCGAGCGTGCGCGAAGGTTGCGGCAGGCGTCGCGCCGCGGAATGACCACCGTCCCGTTCGGCGCCGTGACGTGCAGCTCGACCCAGCTGTGGCAACCTCGGTACGAACCGTTGAGGTGTGACGCATCCGTGGCCCACCCTTGGTCGTGCGAGTCGCACTCGACGACGAGTGCCACGCACTGGGTGCGCGTGATCGCCGGATGCTCGAGCGCAGGCACCGTCAGTTGCAAGTACGGTGCATTCGCCGGCGCCGAGACGTTGAGCGTTCTCGTCGTCTCGACTTCGTGGTAGATGGTCAGGCGGTCAAGCATCGCATTGATGGTGGCGACTGGGAGGCCTCTCGCCGCGTACGAGCACCCAAGGCGAAGCACGTCGCGCGCGGTCACGGTGCTGCGCGCCGGCAGCGCTGCGGCCGCCGTGCGTTCAAGAGGAGCCACGGTCGAAGAGTTGGCCGCATCGACAAGCCAGAGGCCTTCTGTAGCGCCAAAGCCTGGTCTGTTCTGTGCGCAGAGAGCGGCGACGTCGTGTTGACAGGCCGCGGCCAAGTCGACTTCTGAGATCTCGATTCCAAGAGTCCTCGCGAGGCGCTCGTACTTCTACATGAAAAATAAAAGTACGACCGATTCGTCCATCAATGCTTGGAAGTACGTTGGGCGTTGGCTGCGTATTGCGATTGAGCTCTTCGGTCAGCGCACGCACATCGCAGCGGGCGAGGCTCAAGTCATCGCGAAGCTGATTGCACTCGGTTTCACGCTGGGCGATGTTGCGTCGCAGGGCCGCAAGACGCGCTTGGCTCGCGGCGTCGACGTCGCGGTGCTGGGCGCGCTCCGCCTCGATCAGAGATACGCTGCGCTCGAGAGCTGTACGAAGCTCCGTGCGCTCTGCCGCGAGCTGAGAGACGCTGATGTGTAAGGTCATCAGCTGCGCTTGGTTGGCGGCTTCGACATCACGGAGCTGCGCGCGCTTGGCCTCGAGCTCGGTTGTGTGGTGTTGCAGGGCCGTACGGAGCTTGGTTGTGAGCAAGGATACACTGTGCTTTAGGGCCGAAAGCTCTTCTTGGCTGGTACCACGGAGCTGTGTGAGCTCCGTCTCTAGCTGATATGCACGCTGTTGCTGGGCCGTGAGCTGCGCTTGTTTGGTAGCGTGGGCGTACTGCAGCTGAGAGTGCGCGACCTCGAGCTCGGACACGCGGCTCTGGAGAGCCGTGAGCTGCGCTTTGTAAGCAGCATCGGCGCGACGGAGCTGCGTGCACTCCGCCTCGTGCCGAGCTCCGAGGTGCTGAACAGCCGTAAGTTGTGTTCGGTTGATGTCACGGAGCTGCGCACGCTCGGTCTCGAACTCGGATGCACGGTGTTGCAATGTCGTCAGTTGCGCTTGGTTGGCCTCACGGAGCTGCTTGCACTCGGTCTCGAGCTGGGACGTATGGCGCTTCGAAGCCGTCAGCTGTACTTGGTTGGTAACATCCGCCTCTTGCAGCTGTGTGCACTGCGCCTCAAGTTGAGACACACGCCGTCGCAGGGCTGTAAGCTGTGCTTGCTTTGCAGTATTGGCACCGTACAGCTGAGAACGCTGGGCCTCGAGCTCACGCACATGTCGTTGCTGGGTTGTGCGTTGATCTTGGTTGATCTCACGCAGCTGCGCAAGCTCGGACTCGAACCGGGATGCGCGCCGCTCAAAGTCTTCAAGCTGCCCCTGGTTGGCGGCGACGGCGTCTTGCAGCTCACCCTCGAGCTGGGATGCGTACCGCTGCAAGGCCGCAAGTCGCGCTTGATACGCAGTCTCGGCTTCGCGTCTCTCGGCACTGGCTTTGTACGATTTGGTGAGTGCTCTTGTGCACTCGTGCTGGTACTCGTTTCGGATCGCCAGCTTCTCGTGCTCGTGGACCTCTTTGAGATGCTGCGCGACGTCTGCGTGTCTTTGTTTCTCAGCGGCAAGTGCGTGTGTTAGCGACGTGACGTGGCACCGCGCGGACTCGAGCTGCGCTTCGAGCGTGGTGGTCGCGCATTGCATCAAGGCCACGTGCTCGCTGAGAGGGATATGATCGTCGAGCAGAAGCGGCCGCTGGAGGAGTGTGTGCAGCTGTCCTTGAAAGTCCTTCACGACCGCGGTCAACTGAAGCTGCTGCGACGTGAGATCCACATTGAGCGCGCCAGGCTGGTTTTGCGCCAGCTGCTGCTTGATGTCGTCGAGAATTCGGCTCGTGTCGCGTTCGTGTTGCAAGAGTGCCGTCATTTGGTCGCGCTGCTCCTGTAGCTGCTGGTGGAGGCTGGTCACTTGGCTCTGTGCGGCGCGCAGCATCGCCGCATCCTCACGCGCTTCGTTCGCCTTCTCGGCCATAACGTTTTGAACGTGCACGCATTGTCCCAGTGCGAACGTGAGCTCGGACAATAGAGCATTCGCGCTCTCCTTCGCCGGCTCGGTCTCGCAGTGCAGTGAAAGCCGCTCGAGTGCACTGCTTGCAAGCCGGATACCGTCTTCGATGCGTGAAAGGATCGATCGGACGTTGCCGTCGTCAATATCGTCGTCATCGTCGTCGGTGCCGTCGTCTGTCGTGGCGACGGTGCTACACCGCTCGTCGGCATCGGTTTCGGGATCGGGCTCCTTTGGCACTGAAGACGCCATTTCTACCGAGTCGATCGGCGTTTTGGTAGCGGCTCGGAGCCTCTCCAAGAAGCGCTGATACTCTGCGTTGGACCGCATCGCGTGGATATGCGCGGCTGTGTCCAGCGCTTCCGGTGCACCGTACAGCGCGTTGTGTAGCTCTCGCTCGAGGCTCGCAATGTAGGCTTGCAGTTGAGCCGTTTTTGCCGCCAACGGGTCGACGTTCTTGACCGCCTATAGTTGAAACAACGCACTATAGAAAATACTTGAGCGAGACGGGTCCTACCTCATTTTGGATGTTGCGAGCGCGACTGGCATACGCAAGCGTGTTGAGTGTCTCGGCCGCGTTCGAAGCGGCCGGCGAGACGCACGCACTATCAAAGACATTTGCAATCTCGTAGTTCGTAGTACTGAAAATGGACGAAGTGTACATGAAGAGCGTGCGGCTGTTTCCGCCAAGCGCGTGTTGGAGGAGCCGCGTGAGCTTGGACGAGCGGTACGGCACGTACGGTGTTTTGCAAGCAAGTGCGTTGATGACCATGCCGAGCACGAGCAGTCCGCCTGGTACAACGCGTCGCAATCCAGCTTTCATCCATTCCACCTACCGTTGATCTGGATGCCTTCCTTCTTGCGCTGCCCGTCGGACATTGTCTTGTCCAGCCTATAATGTAAAAAATGTTGATGTCACGGGAGCACAGGTCCGCAATGTAGTACCGCTCGCTACCGGCCAAGTCGACGAACGTGAGCTTTGATATGATTGACTGCGGGTCGGCTTTGGTCTTGAGCACCAAGTAAAACACCGCGTGGGATCGGCTCGAGGCGTGGTTCATCTCGGTGCTGCCAGTGATGCGCCCAGCACAACCATTGGAAAGTTGAGCGATGGCCTCTTCAGGCGTCGCGACCGCCACCTACGCCAAGATGCCGTCAAGGTTCGACCTAGGGCTAGGGTGAGATAACACCTCGCGCGCGCCGTCGATCGTGTCGATGCCGCGGAGTGTCAGCACGCGCCGCGCTCCATTTGGCAAGAATGGCGATGGCGAGAGAAGGTCGTGGATGTCTTCGCCGTAGATTTCCAGGAAGGTTACGTGGGCGACGACGGCATCGGCGTCAATCTTGGCAAAGACGTCGCGGAGAACACGCGGAAGAAGGCCCCAAGCGGCTGGGTTATGCATCCCGCTAGCGCTACTGCCAATCGTGTACGTCTTGCCGCTCGCGGTTTGACCGTAGCCCAAGATTGTCAAGTTGAAGCCTAGCCGATTCTTTCGCTGCGAAAGTTAGATCATCGGGCATAACTACCGTTGAGGAAGTGGTCGATCTTCGACTAGACGAGGAGTGTGTGAATAAAAGAGTATATAGCCTTGAAGGCGGAACGTACAATACCTGCAATGTGGTTTCGTACACTTGCGCTTGCGTGCACTGCGGCCCGAGGACGTGGTCGAACGTAAAGCGCCTCGTCGCATGCGGCGTCGAGATGGCGATCGCGCGGCGGGCGTCATCGATGACGGCCGTCTCGTCCGAGCCTGTGCCCGTGCTGACGACCTCTTGGGGCAAGAAAGGTCGAACGCGGACCGCGACCTCGATGCGCTGCTTCTTCCGACTCGCCATGTCGGGTTGTGCCATCAACCTGATCCGTGTTTTCTTCCTGCACTTTCTCGTTGAAGATACTCGACTAAATGCACCCAATGTATTTGAGTCACCGAAGGCGCGTCTTCGTGAAGCTTTTTTAGTAATCAGCCGAGTCGAAGCGCCGAGAGACTGATGCGCCGATATGGGCGTATCTCGGGCTGCAGCTTTCGCTTTCGATGCGTTGGTGGCACAAGGTGACGGCACTAAAATGCAACAGTGTGTCGAAATCCATGCAGTCGCACGCAACATAAGCTCTCGACCGCCGTTCATTTATCTATTGCCAACTGTTCGGTCATAGAAAATTGGTCATAGAACTTAAATTCAATGGATCGTCAATTGTCAATACGTGTTCTTGGAAACGGATTTGCTATTGACGACGATAAAGCCTGAATTGATACGTCGATACTCACAAACGTATCAGTTTATCGGCTTATGAACCATAAACGTTGCAGCGCCAGAATGTTTGGCTCACGGACGAAAGGAAGGAAAAGAAAAAGAGGGAAGGAAGCAGCGAGAACACTCGAAAAACAGGGTACGTGTCTATTGCGTTCACGCTAAGACGACAGAGGTCTGTGCTCCGGCCTGGGCTCCTTGGAAGTGCTCCTTTGGCTAATTAGACTTGATGTTTGTATGCTTGTTTGTATTCTTGAGCCAAACAACGATTTATGGTCCACACGATAAGCATTTTGACCAATCAGATGCGTTTTTGATGCTTACTGGCCGCGCTATCTAATTGAGTTGATCTGATTGGCCGCGCTAACTAAAATGGAATATCAAGCCATAACAGTATTTCGGGTTGATATTTTTAAATGGTGTGAGCAACATCACCGCAACCACGATCGACGCCACACAGACGCGTTAACGCAAGGCTGCACCGGTTCTTGTCGTTCTATAGCATCCTCGTGTCATGAAGATGAAGGTTTGGATGCTGAACATGGCGCATGCATGCGAATTCCAACGTTGGTTTTTCGAGGTGGCAAAATATACGCCCAGGTACACAACGGGTTTTCGCCCAGTTCGAGAACTCGGCCAACTCCGACGCGGGCGGCCATAATTGATCATGTATGTTGACTCGCCCAGCGACCTGTGTTTGGGACATGGTAGGTACTTGGGCTCTCACAGCAAAGTCGTACTGCTGAGCGTCGTTTTTCGCCGACTTGGACATCGAAATTCGAGTACAAATGTTGAGTTTTCGCAAGATCTGAGAGCGCTATCTCTCATTTATGGTAACGGATAGCATGTTACACTGACGATGGGTTCTAGAGTGCGCTACGGCACCGATATCATTATAATACACTATTCTAAGTCATACACTGTAATAGCAAATATTGGTTTCAAATAATATGTAAAATATATCGTCAATAACTCTCGCTACATAGCTCAAACGGTGACACCACATAGCGTTTCGTACTCTCCAAAGTGTCCTCTATCATCATGCCGAGTATGAGCGCTTTTGTTTTCAATCACGAATTGCGCTCAAACTTTTGCCGCCGTTGGCGTGCGGCATCTAAATGTGTCTATTTTTGGTTTTTACGGCATATGCCAACACTAAGGCTGGTAGCACTGTGGCCTCGAACGGCGACGCTGCATCAAATCTTGGCGATTGGTCTGGCTCATTGAAGACTGTTGCGTCCATGGTGTACTGCGCTGTACGATCTGCAACGTACCGAATTACAGGACTGTTCTTCCTACCGCGGAACGCCGTTGAACGACTCTTCGTAAATTCGCATCGTTCTCTCAAAGGCCGGCAGGGCAGAGAAAGTTCTTGGGCGATGCCGAGAACCGTTAGGACTTGACCGAGCATATAGCGGCGGACAGGCCGATGCGGCAAGCCTATCGTCGACGCGCAGGGACATGGCGTTATATATGGACGTTGAGTTTTATCTGGACAGCGTCAACCTCGTCACGGTCTAGCAAAATATCTGCGCGAGGCCAAGATCATCGCGGCGCCAGGCTCTGCCTTTCTTTGTGACGCCCAATGGCGGCGGGCGTTGCATGTTGCTCTTCCTTAAAGGCATGCGATCGGCGCGCGCCTGTGCCGGCCATTACAGCAGCACGAGCGCCTTGACATTGACCGGGTGCGACATCTCGGGTTGGACGATGCAGCAGATGCGCGCATGCCGCCGCTGGCCGTGTGATCAGTCGTGGTCATGACATACAAGCGACACCGTCAAGACTGGCGTCCTGCAAAGTCCTTAGATCGCTTTCGGAAGCTGCACTGCAGGCTATTCTGTCCGGGTCCGGACAGTCCGGGTGTCCAGATAACCAAATAAAACACCTGGACAGTCCCGGCGTCCAATTATATCCTGTTCAAAAACAATCGGATACTGCTATTCACTGTCTCTACGCTCCAAATTATTGCTACCTCAATCAACAAACAAAAAATTCGCCGCCTTTCAAAGCACCGTAAAATAGCTCGCTGAATACCAACTCCCGTGAATTCACTCCTTTTACAATACATGCAATCCACTCCTTTTACAATACATGCAATTCACTCCTTTTTACTATACATGCACTCAATTCGACGCAATATTTATTGAAAAACTATTCTCGGCAATAAAATGGTCTTTTGGGTGGAAATATTTTAAACGTTGCTATTTAAATAATACGATACGCTTTTTGTCGTCTCTCGAGAGAGCTTGATGCGTCGAATCGGAGGGTCAATTTGGGTTGGAAGGAGCTAAATAAAAAATATCGCGGTGGCTTGACTCCCCGTACTAATTTTTTGAATGCGTTCAAGGCGATCTCTGCTTCCACAAGGCGTTGTATTTTTCAACCCATTTACACGGGCTACAAATTCGAAATGGCCATAAAAGGTCACATGCATATATTTTTTTCAACCACTGCTCATCTTGAAATTTCGTGGTGTGTTTTTATATGCTGCAGCATGGTCTCCTCGAAATGAGCACACGTAACAAACGTATGGAAGGTGTATTTCGTTTGGGATATGAAAAGGTAGGAATTGGTCTCGATTGCTCATGATATAGGAGTCCGAAAAAGGCACTGAGAGGACGTATTTTATAGCAGTGGTTGGGCTTGGACAGGTGCAAAAATGGAGAAGCAGGGTATCGATCCCTGTACCTCGCGCATGCTAAGCGCGCGCTCTACCATTTGAGCTACATCCCCTTTTTTATACAATAGAGGCTCTAAAAACGCAGCCAGTCATTGTCATGCAAATCTACGATATTTTATCATTCTTTTTTGCTATTTACTATTTATACTGCTATTCACTGTCTCTACGCTCCAAATTATTGCTACCTCAATCAACAAACAAAAATTCGCCGCCTTTCAAAGCACCGTAAATAGCTCGCTGAATACCAACTCCCGTGAATTCACTCCTTTTACAATACATGCAATCCACTCCTTTTACAATACATGCAATTCACTCCTTTTACTATACATGCACTCAATTCGACGCAATATTTATTGAAAGACTATTCTCGGCAATAAAATGGTCTTTTGGGTGGAAATATTTTAAACGTTGCTATTTAAATAATACGATACGCTTTTGTCGTCTCTCGAGAGAGCTTGATGCGTCGAATCGGAGGGTCAATTTGGGTTGGAAGGAGCTAAATAAAAATATCGCGGTGGCTTGACTCCCCGTACTATTTTTTGAATGCGTTCAAGGCGATCTCTGCTTCCACAAGGCGTTGTATTTTTCAACCCATTTACACGGGCTACAAATTCGAAATGGCCATAAAAGGTCACATGCATATATTTTTCAACCACTGCTCATCTTGAAATTTCGTGGTGTGTTTTTATATGCTGCAGCATGGTCTCCTCGAAATGAGCACACGTAACAAACGTATGGAAGGTGTATTTCGTTTGGGATATGAAAAGGTAGGAATTGGTCTCGATTGCTCATGATATAGGAGTCCGAAAAAGGCACTGAGAGGACGTATTTTATAGCAGTGGTTGGGCTTGGACAGGTGCAAAAAATGGAGAAGATCGATCCCTGTACCTCGCGCATGCTAAGCGCGCGCTCTACCATTTGAGCTACATCCCCTTTTTATACAATAGAGGCTCTAAAAACGCAGCCAGTCATTGTCATGCAAATCTACGATATTTTATCATTCTTTTTTGCTATTTACTATTTATACTGCTATTCACTGTCTCTACGCTCCAAATTATTGCTACCTCAATCAACAAACAAAAAATTCGCCGCCTTTCAAAGCACCGTAAAATAGCTCGCTGAATACCAACTCCCGTGAATTCACTCCTTTTACAATACATGCAATCCACTCCTTTTACAATACATGCAATTCACTCCTTTTTACTATACATGCACTCAATTCGACGCAATATTTATTGAAAAACTATTCTCGGCAATAAAATGGTCTTTTGGGTGGAAATATTTTAAACGTTGCTATTTAAATAATACGATACGCTTTTTGTCGTCTCTCGAGAGAGCTTGATGCGTCGAATCGGAGGGTCAATTTGGGTTGGA